GTCCCTAACTCTGGAGGGACCGTAGGGTTCCTAGCAGACTAAGAAGACAGAGACTCGAGAGGAAGAAAATGGGTGCAGAAAGGAGCCCCCAGAATAGTCATATTAACACTAGGTGTGGCCAGATGGTCACACATGATCCCAAAGATCTGCTTAGGGCAGGATTCCTTAACCAGGACTGGATAAGTGTGTGTGTGTGTGTGTGTGTGTGTGAGCTGGGGGGCTGTGCTATGCAGCTTGGGGGCTGTGCTGTGCAGTGGTGTTTAGCAGCACCCCTGGCTTCTCCCCACTAGGTGTTAGTAGCACCCACCTCCAGGGGTGATCCACAATGTCTCCAGGCATTGCCTAGGGCTGGGGGCTCCAGGGCTCACGGTGTGTGTGTGGGGGGGAACTGCTGGTTTAGGGCCACTTCCACGTCTCAGTCAGTGGTTAGGCCTGATCCTGGGAAGCAATTTGAGCTGCAACTGAGAGGAGAGGTTAAGGGTCGACACCGGGGACATTCTGCTCATACGTGGCCATTCTTTTTTATGGGCATCTTGGAATATGGCTGTTTAAAAATGTTCCATTTCCTCCTTTTCTTTTCCTTATTTGGTGAATTAATTGTCAGCGCTATGGGACAGGAGGTTGTTTTTCTGACCGTTACTTTTGAGAGGGGAGCCTCTCCTGTTCATTCAATCTGTACGGACTTCCGGCAGGAAATGGCACTCAAGGAAAGTTTTGAATAAAAGGAAGATGTTGGATTAGCCAGTGGAAACAGGAAGTTGTTGCCTGTGTCTCATACAACAGGGAAGAAAGTAAGAGGTAGAGAAAAACTTCACTTAACAGGAGTGGGAGGAGCAGAAGAAAGTGAGGATGAGAGAAAAGGGAGGGTGGGGAGAGCTGAGGAGGCCCCAGGCCCCCAGGTAAGAAGACTTTGAATGTCCTGATGGGGTCCCTGTACAGCAGAGGATGACGGCTGCAGAGGATGACGGCCATAGGCAGCAACCGTCAAAGCTTACAGTGGTTTGTTAATTAAATTACTTTATAGTACAGTGATAGACTGTTCTTAAATTATTTAAATTAATACATTTTCCCCCCTCTCTCTCTTCCTATCATTTAAAATCCCATAAAAAATTAAAAAAGAAGAAGGAAATGTGGCAAAATGTTAACAATTGGTGAGTCAGATAATAGGGAGAAATTTTCAATGTCATCTACGACCATTCATCATGTTCTTGTAACTCTGTAAGCTTGAAAATGTTCAGAATTAACATTTGTGTGGGGAGAAGAATCCATGTTTTTGACTTTTAGGACTGAATGGTTGTCAGATATACATCCCCAGGATGTGGCATTACTTATGAGGCTGTCCTCTGCAGTGCACTCTAAGAGACCAATGTTCTATGGCCAGAGAGACTTCTCGTCATGCATTTATGTATGCTCAGGTTCTGATCAATTCAATCTGGAATTGACAGATTCTGTGTAACTTGGACCAACATCTTTCAAGGCAGAGATAATTCTTAGCTTGTAGGTTTTACCATCATTTTTTTTTTCACACACTTCTTGAGTGCTTACTGTATACAGGGTATTTATGAAGGGACTATAAAAGTTTGTGGGGGGACCAGCAGGTGGCATGGTGGTTAAGGCACTGGACATTCCCACATGGCCGACCACAGTCCAAGTCCTGGACCGGAGGCTTGCTTTCCCACTTTCTCTCTCTCTCTGGTCAAATTAAAGATAAATGAATGAACAAATGAAATGAAATAAATAATTCTTTTTTTAAAAAGTAGGAGGGACCAGCAGTTGGCATAATAGCTATGTTGCTTGACTCCCATGCAGTCGACTGCGGTTCGAACCCCAGACTTGGTGGCCTAAACTCACGTCGGGTGCGTGTGTGTGCGTGCCCAGGATCCCGAGAGGAGAATGGAGGAGAAGGGATTATGGCATGGTCATCCCCCCTTGGGGGTGATTTCTTGCTTTCTGTCTCTCTGTCTCTCAGGCAAGTGCACGCGTCCCATAGCAAAAACCTCTCAAAAAAAAAAAAAAAAAAAAGTGGGAAAATAGTATAAAAATATGAATTTACTCTGGCGCCAAATAATTGTGTAATTTACGCATACTTTCTGTTTTTATTTTCAATTTTTGCCAGAGGGTGCAGCACTTATCAGAGAGAGAAAGGGGGAAAGGGAAAGTGAGAAGGCGCCCTTCATGGGGGATGGTCACATTGCAATCACTTCTCCGCTTCTTTCTCTCTTTGGGATTCTGGGGACACGTGCACATGTGCCCAGCCTGCCCTTCAAGCTGCTGGGATTTGAACTGTGCAGCTGACCATGTGAGATCCACCTGCCCTAACCACCATCCCACCAGCTGGCCCTGTGCGTAGTTTTTTATAATACACATTTTCCATGAATTTTCTAAAGATCCACATATTGTTAAAAGTTATGGGAAATACAAATATGAATCAGAGACACTATGCTCATAGATAATCTTATATTTTAGTATATATTAAAAACCTTGACTTTAACATAACGTAGAAAATCATCACTTTTCGTCAAGTCTATTTTTTTAAGAATTATTTTGTTGGATCAGCTGGTGGCATGGTGGTTAAGGCGCTGGACACTCCCACATAGCTGACCACAGTTCAAGTCCTGGACCTGGTGGCTTGCTTTCTTGCTTTTCCTTTCTCTCTGTCTCTCTCTGCTCAAATTAAGGTAAATGAATGAATAAATAAAAGTAAATAAATAATTCTTTTTTAAAGAAATTATTTATTTACTTTTATTTATTTATTTGTTTTAATTAGCAAGAGCAAGAGTGAGAGAGAAAGAGAGGGAAAGTGAGAAAGCAAGCTGCCAGGTCTAGGGACTTGAACTGTGGTCAGTCATGTGGGAGTCCAGTGCCTTAACCACCATACCACCTGCTGGCCCCAGCTACTCATCCTTTTAAATACCTGCTTTCTTTTTTTAAATTTTTTTTAAAAGAATTGTTTATTTCATTTTATTTATTATTACTGTTATTACTATTATTCATTTTTCTTTTCTTTTCTTTCTTTCTTTCTTTTTTTTTTTATTTTGCCCAGAAAGAGAAAAGGAAAGCAAGAAAGCAAGCTGCCAGGTTCAGGACTTGGCCGACAGTCAGCCATGTGGGAGTCCAGCACCTTAACTACCACACGCCTGCTGGCCCAATACCTGCTTTTTTGTACCAGACAAGAAAGCATGAGGTTTGGGTCAGCTCCATAGCCTGGAGGTTAAGGGAGTCAGAACCCACAAGGTCAACCACTGTGTGTCCCAACCCCAGCTCCAAAAACTCACCAGGCAAGTGTTACTTGAGTGCACCAAATCCTGATAAGGTGGAGAAATGAAGAAGGGACTGCACCATGGCCACGCCTCACCCAGGGTAGGGGAGGATTTCTCCCTCCCTCTCTCTGCATCTCTTTCTATTGAGTGCACACTCCCTCTGGCAATTAAAAAACAACAAAAAAAGCATGAAGTTAAATTCAGAGTTGAAGATCCAGTGCAAGTGGCAATGGGAAATCCCTGCCCATTTAGTATTTTAGCCCCCTTGGGATGGGCTGTAGGCATTTTCCCTCCGCATCCTGCACCTCTAGCTCCTGCGCTCTTTCTTCCACTCAGTGGCAACCGGCCGCTTTCAAATCCTGACATTTTTATGAACTTCTTTTCCTTCTGATCAAAATTTAGTTTGGGAGGCCAGTAAGAGGCATAGTGGTTAAAGCGCTGGGCTCCCACATGGTTGACCGTGGTTTGAGGAGCAGACCCAGTGGCTTGAAAATCACACTGGGCATGTTTGCATGCATGTTCAGAATCCCAGAAGGAACATGGAGGAGGCATTGGTGTGTGGCCATTCCCCTTGGGGGGGGATTTCTTATTTTCCCTCTCACTGGCTCTCTCTGGCAATCGCATGCTCCAGATGACAAAAGCTTTTGAAACAAACCAAGAAAAGGAATACCTATTTTGGAGAAGGTATCTGGCATACTCATTCACGGTGAGGCATAAATGACTGATCAAGACAGAAGCGTAACTGCTTCCAGAACCATTTGTGTTTGAACAGGGTGGGAAGAACTACTGGTTCTATAATAGAGGGAATGCGCATGCAGAGAGTAGGTGGAGAAGCAAAAGAGACGGGGGACCACGGACCTAGCCCAGTGGGCTCAGAGACCACGTGTTACAGGGCTTTATCATTTTTCCTGGACAACCACCTGCTTTGTTTGTGGGCTAGGGCAGGATAGGAGTAATTCGGGGTGGTAACTTTAGGTAAGTGTTTAGCACAAGTGCTGTTAATGATATAAAATGAAAAGCTAGTCTGAAAATAGATGTGGAATCATTATGTTAAGGTGATAAAGAAAAAATGAAAAATTTAAAAAAGTATTCATTATACTTAAAACTAGAATTACTAAGAGATATGCTTAGAACTTGTATTAAGTACTTTGTACATTTGAAATACTTCGATGTTATTCTATTCAACTTAATAAAAATAGGATTAAAAAGGCACAAAGAGGGACCAGCAGTTGGCATAGTAGTTAAGGCACTGGACTCTCACATGGCTGACTGCAGTTTGAGTCCGAGACCAGGCGCGTGTGCATGTGTAGTTCAAATCCCGGGAGGAGAAAGGAGAACGAACTGCGGCATGGCCGTCCCTCCTGGTGCGTGTAGGGGGTGTAATTTCTCACCTTCTGTCTTAGTGTCTTTCTCTGTTTCTCCTGTGAGCACATGTGCCCTATGGACACCCCCCACCCCCAAAAAAAGCACAATTAATATTAAAATGCATATTCTATCAAATCAAGTATATTTAATACAATTTTTAATGTAATGGTGCTGATGGCTACTTTTAGTTACTGTCTATGAGAACAAGCGAACAAATATAGCAGGCACGAGGCAGGAACTTTCTGAACTGTGTCAAGGTTAATAATAAGTAAAATGTTATAAGTCGGGAGCGGACAGCAACAGCTGCGAACATTCCCGGAAGCAAAGGACAAGCAGATAGGAGCTTGCTTTTGCGGCTTCTGAGTGGGCAGAGAGCCTTATAATAATTATAAGGAGAACGATCTTCAGTTTATACACTAGAATTATTTTGCCCTCCATACCTGATGTCTGCAGCTGGAAATTGCGGGGCGTGGGGAACAATGTTGGAAGAAGACAGGGATCAAATCTATGAGAATGTCCTGGTGGAGATTCAGTCTTTTGAGCTGCCTGTTGAAGCTACGTTAAGGTAGGCTGCCTCTATAGTTCATTATTATTATTATGATTATTTGCAGCCAGAGAGTAGTCCTTTCCCTTCTTTTTATACTTTCCTTTATAATGAAATAAAAATATACTTTTGAAAAATACACTTCTGTATTTACTTAATCTCAAAGTGTTTTATCCTCAGAAAAATGACAATAGAGGAATAATATGCTTTCTTTTTGACATTATGCTTGCTTTCTGATTTAGCCCATGCAGTTAAAACATATAGATGAACTTTCAGTGAGCAAAATGAACCTCATACCATCTCCAAATAGACATTCATTTGAAGATGTTTATGTGGAGTTTCAATTGTTTTCTCTAAAATATTACTTAGGAAGAAACAACCAGAACAACTAGACATACTGATGAAACCAATTGATGTGTGGGTGGCTCTGACTAATAGAAAAAATGTAGGATATTTATCTGTATTGTTGCTGCTCTCTTGAGTGACTTCTCAGGTGTGCATTTTTTGTTGTTGTTGTTTCTGTATATGATTTAAAAATAACTTCTTTCAGGAACAGCAGATGGCGTAATGGTTATGTCACTGAACTCCCGTATGGCTGATGGCTGACCGCGGTTTGAGACCTGGTGCCTTGGAACTCACACTGGGTGCATGTGCGTGGGTGCCTAAAATCCCAAGAGGAGAATGGAAGAGATTGTGGTGTGGCCATTCCCCCCTAGGGGGTGATTTCTCATTTCTTTCTCTCTGTCTCTGTCTCTCTGTCTTCCCTGAGAGCACACATGCCCTGAGAGCACACATGCCCTATAGCAATAATCTCTCTTAAAAAAACCAACTTCTTTGGTTGGACCAGTAGGTGGTGCGGTGGTTAAGGCACTGGACTCCTAAATGACTGACTGTGGTTTCAGTCCTGGACCTGGTGTCTTGACAGTCACGCTGGGCATGTGTGCATGCGTGCCCAAGATCCCAGGATGAGAATAGGAGAGAAGAGATTCTGGTGTGGTCATGCCCCCGGAAGGTGATTTTTCACTTTCCCTCTCTCTGTCACTCTCTGACAAGTGCACACACCCTATGACAAAAACTTAAAAAAGAAATTAAAAATAACTTCTTTGGTAAGATAGGTATTAATTTGCACAGCAATAACAGGATTCAAATAATATTTTAATTTGACCAGAGAGAGAGAGAGAAGTGAGAAAGCAAGCTACCAGGCCCAGGACTTGAACCATGGTCAGCCATATGGGAGTGTCAGCCCTAACTACCACACCACCTGCTGGTCCCAGGAAGAAACTATTGACAGACAAAAAGTGTAAAGCTTTCTGCTGAAAAAATACATATATATTGCATATATCATGTTGGGGATTTTATGTAACGCTGAAAATTTTAAAAATGATGATTAAAAAAAAAGAAAGACCATATGCCTTTAAGAAAGGCCAGCTTTTAAAATTTAATTTTCTCTGACTGCCTGCCCATATCTGACACCTGTCAGTGAGGAAACAGGAAGTAATCACTGAATATGAGTGACATTCATTACATATTTGTTGACTAATATCTGTAGATTAAATGGGAAGGGGTGTGTGTGTGTGTGTGTGTGTGTGTGTGTGTTATCATCGAATGCTCAGGCCCTAGGGATAGTGCTGCAAAATTCATGGCAGTGTAGACCTGAATAAAAATGTTCCAGATATTTAAAATGTATTTTACGTTAAACATAGGTTGAATCTCTTCAATGGGCTTAAGGGAGTGTTGGGCCCACAGTGAACCACTGAGATTTGTTGCTTGATTCTTGGGTTATCGGTATGTAGGTAGAGGCACAAAGTGATTACAACTCCCTCGTAACTGTTCCAACACTTTCCTCTTCTCTGAGCATCGTCGGGAGTTGTCCGTAAAGAAGGGGAGGTCATTTTTACCTTGTCCAATAGGCAGAAGCCACCAGAGCTTTTTACCGAAGCTTGTACTGTGCCAGCACCTTCTAAAACATGTGCATTTGTCTGGTCAGGAGTCTAACGTCCATGAGCAGAGTGAAGGGAGCCTAGCTGTGTCATAATTACTGTGGCCTCTGCTGCCATCATTACTCAGACCCCTCGGCCTTTGACCCTAACCATCCCTAACTGTGCCCTGGTCTCACAGCCCTGGCCAATGTGTACAGACTTCATCTGGCCCGGAACTATCCTTTTAGCTAGTCGTATTCTGGGGCTGAATTTGACTTCTCCCTTGGTTCTTGGGCCCTTTTCACCCTGCATTCCCAGGACAATCCTGTACCTGGTCTTCCTAAAGACAAAGCCGTTGGGATCTACCAGCATCACCCTGAAGAGTGGAGAGTGCGCAGATACATTCCCAGGTTCTGCTCTGTCACCACCAACGGGCCTGCAATGCCACTGTTAGCTTCATGTCTGGGTTACTAAAAAGGCGTGTGAGCACACTTTTCCAAAAAAAAGTCAATGTTGTTTTGAGGGGTAGAGTGGAATCCTAGAGCCCCTACCGAGCCTTCATATGGGATAATATTGGACAAAATCAGTTTTCCCGCACTGTACTCTGATCATTTAATTGGGTGGAGACTTAGACTGGCATTCGAGGCCTTTCTACACACACCTCTGCATGTCACTGACTCTCCAGTGTAATTTTCTTATGGAACGTGGCAGCTCATGTGGTCAGATAGGAGGGTTAGAAATGATCTGGGCCAAACTAGCCTGTTTACTGTTCGACAACGTGCCCTGGGGTTTTCTCCTTCCTAGAAGTGCTCCCGGTGCCTCTCCTGTATTATCTGCTCTTACTTGTGCTTGTCAAAATCTATCCCGTCTTGTAAAGATACCTCAAATACATTTGCTTTCTTTCTTTTTAAAAAAATTATTTATTTTACTTGTTATTATTATTTATTTTTTAATTTGAACAGAAAGAGAGAGAGAGAAAGGGAAAATGTGAAAGCAAGCTGCCAGGTCCAGGACTTGAACCATGGTTGCCATGTGGGAGTCCAGCGCCTCAGCCATCATGCCACCTGCCAGTCCCTCAGATATTCTTTCTTTGAAGATTTCTCAAAGAATCCACGGCACCTATTGGGTCATCAGAAACAGGATGACACATTTTTACATGGAAAACCAAGAGAAAATACGTCAGGATTTTCTGACAACCCAATATTTTGACTGTGTGTCTTTTGTGTTATGCCCACTTCCAGGCTGAAGGTTCCTGAGGGCAGGGCCTGTGTCTTCCTTAGACCTTGGTATCACTGGTAGAAGCGTTCACAGTGCCGGGCATATAGTAGCTAGATCAAAATTGGTTGAATTAACTTACATCAGCTTAGGAGGTAATGGTGACCTGGGAGGGAAAAGAGGAAGCAGTCCAGAGAGAGGGTTGTCATCTCAGCAAAGAGGAGGAGGCAAACTTTTTTGTTCATTTTGGTTTTTCTATTTTCCTTCTTTCCCTTCTTTTTCTTTCTTTCTTTCTTTCTTTCTTTCTTTCTTTCTTTCTTTCTTTCTTTCTTTCTTTCTTTCTTTCTTTCTTTCTTTCTTTTTTGTTACAGGATGCATAGGCTTTCTGGAGAGAGATAGTGTGTATTTGTGTGAGTGTGAGTGTGTGTGTGTGTGTGTGTGTGTGAAATCACCCCCCAGGAAGGATGGCCATGCTGCAGTCCCTTCTCCTCTTGAGATTTTGGGCATGCATACACACATACCCGGTGTGATTTTTGAAGCCACTAGATGTAGTGAGCCATGTGGGGTCCAGCCACCTTAAGCACCATGCAACTGGCTGGCCCACTTCTGTTCTTCTTTTTAGTTTATCTATCTGTCTATTCCGAGAGAGAGAGAGAGAAAGCAAGCTGCTAGAGAGAGGTGGCCACAGTGCCCTCAATGGGGTCTCAATGCTATGATGTACCAGCAGCCTGGGCCAGCCCCTCGCCCAGTCCCTAACCCAGGGTGAGGTGGCCTCCAGAGCATCCTGTTCCACCCCTGCGCCACCACCTGGCCCAGGAAGTATTTTAATTACATCAAGCTCGAAGAGCAGAGAGGGTGGAAAGGCGTTAGGCTGGAGGCAGACTGGCCAGCAGGGCCACAAAGGCCCTGTCAGGAGGTTCTGGAGTGAGCAGTGAAGGAAAGACCAGGACACTGAGGTGGTGAGGCTGAGAACGTGAGAGAGAAGCCTTCCCAGGGAAAACTTGGCCTCTGAAGGTTGAGGTAGAGAGTATATTGAAACGTTCTTTCTCATTTTCCAAGGTCACTTTTAGAAAAAAGACCTTATTTTACTAAACATTTTCTGTAGTAAAACCCTAAACTCTGGTGCCAGTAAGTGGCATGGTGGTCAAGGCACTGGACTCTCACATGGCTGACTGTGGTTCAAGTTCCAGACCTGTGAGGCTTGGAATTCAAGCCAGACTCATGCCCGTGTGTGGTCAAAATCCCAGGAGGAGAATGGAGGAAAAGGGATTGCGCATGGCCATACCCCCTGTGGGGGGACTTCTTGCTTTCCCTCTTACTGTCTCTCTTTGTCTCTCTGGTGAGAGCACACGCCCTATGGCAAAAACCTTAAAAAAAAAAAAATCTAAATTGTTAGCTTCCTTTCCCTCCCACCCTGCCTTTCAGGTAGGAAATCTGAGGTGTCCTGTTCCGGGTCAGTGTTTAGACCGAGGCCAGGTGGGCTTGCTTCTCTAACAAGGTGAACCTAGTTCAGTGGTTCAGAGCTCAGAGGTGGTTTCTAGCCATGGCACGTCTAGATGACGCGACGGCTCTTCTTCTTGAGTGTGTGACCCTTCTTCCCGGCACACGTGGGAAGTGGCCTCCTTTATCTGAGGAGCCACGAGGAGCTATTGAGGTCAGGAGTCATGGAGTCGGAGGTTGTCAGTGGCCTACGCTCCCTTCCACCCTGTCCAGGCGTCATCCTCCCGCCTCCTGACGTCACAGTTGGCTGCTCCCAGAGCAACCTTCCCGCAGACATCCAGCCTGCCTCCTGTGGACTCTGCCAGGGGGCCCCTGAGCCACCTCCTTTGGCATTCTGTTTGTTTGGCTGGAAAAGTGGACAAGAGTCAGGTAATTCTGGGGCCCAGT